TCCCATGCCGGCTCTAAGCTAGAGGGAGAAGTACGTTTTACTCTCCCCACACTTCTCCTTTAACAGCTTATAGTTTTAGATTGTATTTATTTAATTACAGGCATTTATTTTCCATTGACAAATTTTGCAGCGCTTTACATATTATTCATTCACATCAGTCCCTGCCCTCACAATCCCTACTGGGATCCCTAAGGTCCCTATCTCACATGCATACAGGGCCAATACAGATAGGAGCCAATTAACCTATCGGCATGTCTTTGAAGACTAAACCAGACTAAGATTGGTGGAGAAAAGATTTAAACGGGCGTAGGGGCTTCTTCTCAGTTTCAGCGGTTAGGGTCTGGAACTCACTGCCACAAGCAATGGTATCAGCTAAGAGTGTGTAATCATTCAAAAATCATTTGGACAATTTCCCCTGAGACCGTAACTTACAGGGCTACAGGTACCTTTAAAAAAAAAAAAATCACACAGGGACTCATACACACGCATACATACACGCAATAGGTTGAACTTGATGGACCTGTGTCTTTATTCAACCTCAAATATTATGTATGACTATGTAAGTGTGGGATGAAGCTGGACTAGCCAAAGAAAACCCAAGCAAGAACAGGGAGAACATGCAAACACCATGCAGATAGGATTCGGACTGAGGACCCAAGTGCTTTAGGGCAGAAGTGCTAACCTAAGCCCATGTGGTGCCTCCTTTATCCATGGATCTACAGATTGTCACTAAAAGTAACATTTGCCTATTCATGTCTTCATCATACATTTAGTGTATACCACCCACCAAGCTTAGTTAAAGGAACTCCGGTATCTAGATTTGCAAAACAGCAAAATATAAAAATAGGTTTGGCCCAGTTGCCAAAACTGCAAAACATAGCTGCTAGTTTTAGGCCTCCCCAACAAAGTATCTTTGATTGTTTCCAATACCAGGTTACACCCAGGATACTGTCTACATACAGCATATATACTATTCCTGTCTTTGCATGGGTGAATTTGATTGGTCCAGTAATTGTGTAGAGAAGATAGGCTACTAAGGTGCACTAGGATCAGATCACAATCAATATTCTTTCCAATGTTTGTGCTATCAATTAACTTTCCATGAGTCTCTGGTCATCTTTCTAGTTATTTCCCTGCCTTTTATGCTTGCTTTAATACTGGTAGCTCAACCATTATTCCAAAGCAAAAACATTTTTTTTTTTAACATTACAGAAAACAAAGCTATTCCTTAGCACTCTGATAGTCAATAAAATGGGACATAATACAACCTACCTCTAAAATTGTAATGCAAACAGATGTCTCAAACATGAAAATATGTAAAAGCCAAACAGTAACATCATATTGCCTATGAACTGTGGTTGTCTTTGAAATCTGTGACACTACTAACAATGACCAATATAGCAATAACTAATTGAAGAACAAAATTATCTCGAAATTAAACCAATCCTACAGAAATATGACAAACCCAGACTAGCCCAGGGCTTCTAACATTCTCCGATGCGTATGTAACGTTTTTCAGGTTAATGGTAGCATTTACTGAATTTGCTACTGCATGTAAGCAACACTTTGCCTTAAAGTGCAAGCGCAAACTTATTTTTTCAGTTTTGTATAGAGTTGAGAGGGATGTCACCTGTCAAATTTGCATGGCTGTCTGTCTGTGTCCCCATTGTCCTTGAGACTTTTGTTACTGAAAGTGAAAGAAAATCCCAAATTCTGGGTTTTATCAAAACCGAAAAAGATGGGAAATCTTCCAATGGAGACACTAGTTCTAGTGATCCTGCTGACTTCCAGGGATTTCCCTCATTTTGGAGGGATTTCCTCTCACTTCCTTTTTGTGGCTATCAGAAAGGAAGTGAAGGGAAATCTCTGGAAAAAAAAAAAAAGCTGACGGTTTACAACCGTCCCTTAGTCTATCCAAAACTAAGAAAAGAAAGTTTTGGCTTCAGTTCTACTTAAATTGTTAGGCGGTTGGGTAGGCACTAGCCGGTTATGCGAAGAGTCTACAAGAAAATAAACCAGAGAAAAGTGCATGAAGCACTCCTGCGCTTACAGCTAACTTTGTATAATGTATAATACCTTGAAAGCCTGAATTTCAGACTTTATATTCTCCACATTTACAAAAATGTAACAGGAAAACAAACAAAGCAGTGAAACAGATTCCTTTTTTTAATCAAACGGTCAAAAGACTCTCCTTTAAATAATTACACTTTAAGTGGTTTCTTTCCCCACGTTAGCTCCAGCCTGCAACTATCATCCTGATTGTACTTTTGTTTGTTTGAACAGACTGACTTCTAAACTCTTGTCTTTGTTCTCCTTCCCAGACCACCATAGGTTTTTCTGTAATTTGGGGAATTTCACCCGACCCATGGACACACACAGACTGTACAAAATGGCACAGTTCTTTTTCCGCATTGCACACAGCCAAGCACGGTCTGGGATTATTACTGTGCTGCTTTAACCTCTGCTATCCATCACTGCACTGTCCAATAAGTAAGAGGACAGAGATAAGAGATGTTTGTGAAAATGTTGTGCCCATTTCTTCAATATGAGTCCTACACAGACTCCACAGCAAAACGTGCCAAGACAAGATGACAGCAAAGATTTACTAGATATACCGCAGGTTAAGGTGCCCTAACTTGTCCCATGACCTGACATGAGACAATTGCATCGTAAAACTGATTATGCGTAACAGTCAATTTTTGCTCATTCCTGTAGGTATGTTATATCTAGACATATGTAATACAAAAATTTCTGGAGTTCATTATCAAGCATCAATTTATCAAGGTTAGCCACACATTTTCCATACTGTTAAACCACTAAACAAAACAAAAATAAATCACAGCTCAGAATTATCTATTGCAAGTTGCACTGAACTAGAATTCATGTAAATGTAAGGCATGTGTATTATATGTGTTTTAAGCAAAACCTACTACTTTCTATTTATAACTAGCAGTTCTCTCCACCGATGTTCCCACTCCATGCTTTTGTAAGATGGAGAAGTCATCAGGCAAATGCTGGCAGAAGAAAAGTGGGGTGGGTTAAAAGGAATATATTTCACAGGAAACTGGGCAGCTAGTGGGGAAAACATATAAAGAAAAGAGAAAGTAAGGAATAGGAGCTGTGAGAGCATAAGGGATACAAGGGGTGTTTTAAGCACTACGTAGACAGGAGAGGAAAAGTGATGAGCATGGGGGAGATGAGCAGATACACAGGGACTTTAAATTCATACACATTTGTGTTGCGCCTATCTACAGGTGAAACTCGAATAATTAGAATATCGTGCAAAAGTAATTGCAGTAAGTGCTGCAAAAGGGGCCCAAACCAAGTACTGAGTACATATGCATGCTTGTACTTTTCAGAGGTTCGATATTGTTCTATGTACAATCCTTGTTTTATTGATTGCATGTAATAATCTACTTTTTTGAGGTTGTGGATTTGGGGTTCTTGGGGTTTTCATGAGCTGTAAGCCATAATCATCACAATTATGACAAATCACGGCTTGAATTATCTTGCTTTGCATGTAATGAGTCTATCTCATATATTAGTTTCACCTTTTAAGTTGCATTAGTGAAATAAATGAACTTTGCACAATATTCTAATTATTCGAGTTTCACCTGTATTACCACATAAATCGTGAGCTGCCAACTCTAAAAAATACTTCTAAATAATACTAAACAAGTGTAGTGAAGCGCTTTCTATAGATACCATTTTATTATCAGTGCCAAAACGAATTATAAATACATATATTCCTTCTCATAAAGGATGCACCGATACCGGTTTTTCAGTATCCAGTACGAGTACCGATATTCATCTTTCTGTGCTCGCTTTTACTAAGTACCGATACCAGTACTTCCACTAGCATAGAGGCGGCTTCCCGAGCAATCAAGAAGTCGGGCGGCAGGTATTGACATGCTGCCCTGCTTCTCGATTGCCAGGGAAGCCGGCTCCATGCTGTTTGGTTGTCTCGATGCTGATTGGCTGGAAAGCCAGCTTCCCAACCAATCAGCTTTGAGCCAGCTGTTTTCCCAAAAAGAATGGTGTTGGCTTCCCGACCAATCAGGAAGCTAAGCAGCGGGTAATGACTCGGCGGTTAATTCCTGCCCGGTAAGCTAGCTCCATGTTCCCTTGTGGCCATGCCAGTCACAGGAAATCTCCCTCTGCCCGGAAATTCCGGTAACGGGGGTATCAGATTATTTGGGCGAGTACTAGCAAGGTTAAAAAAAAAATCCCAAAACTTCTTTTTGAAGGCTGTGTGGAATTTGGACGAGAAGGTGAATGTAGACTGTTACGGGAGCCACATATCTTTAGAAATGTCATCCCCAGTGCTCCTGTTAGACCTGCAATATAGTTTTTCCATGCCAGCTTGCAAGATAATAGCTGGCAGCAGAAATAAATATTGTGCAGGGCTCAAAATTTCAAGTGAGCTACTAGCCAGGCCTTAAAAGTTACTCGCCACCAGTTGCCCCACCTAACCCTACCCTGCCCCGGACTTAACTCCGCCAGGTCAGTAATGTAACTCACAGCGCAGAGGTCAGTAATGTAACGCACAGCGCAGAGGTCAGAGTGACGCACAGCGCAGAGGTCAGTGACGCGCAGAGGTCAGTGACGCGCAGAGGTCAGAGTGCCAAATCATTTCCTGGCTTTTTACCTCTCTTGGGAACTCCAGTGGTCATTTTTTTGCTCTGTCAGTGCTCCACAGTTCCCACTCCTCTTGTTCCTTTCTCCATAATAAAACAAATAAATATCCAGGAGGAAAGAGACGTAACACCTTGTCATATCCACAAAGGACGTACAGTACAGAACAAAAATTTCACCACCAAAGTACCTAAAGGATATACGAAACTGCTCATTTAATTCTTTGCCATCAATCAAAAACTGACATACCAGTTCTGGGTTGATGGACCATTTAGCTTTTACAAAATGCACACACTGACACTTAAATGATATGTGCTGATAGGTGCAATGGGTTATAGTTTCCAGACAATCTTTTTCATTCTTGCCTTTTAGTTCTTTCACATAGCCATCTTTACAGTTGTGCATAAGCTGAACAATCCACTTGTGCTGTGCTCCAATACACTTCCAAGCTGGGTCACCCGGAGCGTGGAGTTCGGAAAGATATCTGCAAAACAGAATAAGGGATCACAGGTCACCTACTGACTACAACAAAGCTCAGCAGAAAGCTGCGTACCGTAGAGTCTTGCGCTATTTTTAAAGTATATATAAACCCAAAAACAAAAGTATAGTAACGCAGCTCAACAGTCCTCGGATATGGTGGCTGCATTATTTTTCTTTTTAATACTTTATTTCCCTTTATTTTCACCTAGTAATTCTGTGAATAACACACTTACTGTTTTTGGGTGGCTACGCTCACTCTTCCACTGTATCTATGGAGGAATCCATAATTGTCCCCCCCCCCCAGGCTGGACTTTAAATATATCTGCCTGGTGTTTGTTCAAACAACAGTACATGGTGCATATTATAAATTTACAGAAGAAATCTAAGATTGGCAGATTTATCAGTCCAGCTCACAGGAATTGACATGGACACTGCAGTTCTGGCTAGATCAACATGTATTTTCTGTACTTGCGGAAAATGTTCTTAGCCTGAAAAATGAATACTAATGCAACCATCACATCTAAGGACTGGTAAGCTGCAATATATTACATGTTTGCTCTAAGGTTTAGATTGAAGATCACCAGCACTCAAAAGATTTTGTCAAATCCTTGTGTACATTTATTGCCCAATAAATGTACACAAGGATTTGACAAAATCATCTCAGTGCTGGTAATCTTCCATCTATACACGTTTTACGCGCACGGCACATCTGTGATCATCACTACGAGCACCACTTTTAAAATAAAGGTTGTGAACACTGTAAAGAGTGCAGGGGACACATCTGTACACTATGCTCTAAGGTTAAAGTGACATAAACCCTCAGATTTTTTAACATAAAACAATACTGTAATGTGTGCCTTACTGTAATCCATGGTTGTTTCCCTTCTCTTTGCTGCTCTTCCTTTTAAATACTCATGTCTTCTCATGCTCTGCAGAACTTCCCTTTTCAGCTCACGGCCTCTTCCTGTAGTGCTGGCTCAGATTACAAACCCATACAAACGGATACACAGACACCGTGTATCCATTCCTGAGACAAGGCAGTCTGCTGCAAAACAGAAGTTCTGCAGAGCATGAGAACAGATATAGATTTAAAAGGAAGAGCAGCAAAGAGAAGGGAAACAACCATGGATTACAGTAAGGCACACATTACAGTATTGTTTTATGTTAAAAAATCTGAGGGTTTAATGTCACTTTAAGTTATCCTTTAGCAATCAGTGGCAATGCTCTTCTAGTGTCAATTCCAGACAACTACTGAAACCAATCTTTAAACCTCTAAGGCCTTGTTCACTGGTGCTTCAGCCTGTATAAAACAGTGTCTACAGCATGCTTTTACAAAGCTTTCAGCAAACTTGCAGCAGGTTTGTTGACACCTTTTAAAAGCACCATTCAGCTCCACTATGGAGAGGTTAAAATACATTTTCTAACGGCAGTACTAATAGTCAATTTAAACAAGTTCCTAGCAGGCCTTAAAATGCTTCAGCACTACTTTCAGTTTGTTAAACACTTGCTAATCCTGTTAGCAGCTTGTATAAAGTGATAGACAAGGCTCCCATTAAGATCTGTGTCTAACATTCCAAATAGGAGCTTAAGTTTTCTTTAAAAGGCTTTAACCAAGCTGCTCAAAGCTTGCTGAAAGCTTTACAAATGCTGCACACACTGATATTATGCAAATTAAAGCCTTTGTGTAAAAGATCTAATAATACCTAGGGTTTTCAGCCTGCTGTCCGAGTTCCTTCAGTTGGCTGTTGGGCTGCTTGTCAGGTATATCAGATAGGGAGCCCAATAGCCAAGTCGCCATTGACAGCCTGCAAAAGAAGTCCTGTTGCTGACAGGGTCTCCAGGCAAGAAACTTTGCAATGAATTTACAAAAACTATTTACTTAAGAAAACTTCTATATCAATACTAATATTTCAAAATATTATTCCATATGTATACGTCAGCAAAGGTCCTAGAGTGAGTGTTCTTTAGAATACCTCTATTGCATTACAAGCAGGTCAATAAAAGCAATACTTAGATCACCAAATGACCCACAAAATGGAGTGTGGTGGACTGGTGGATACATCACTATAATTCACTTTGAATGGAGCAACCCTTTAGCCTCTGCAAAAAGCAGCTGCTTTGTGGACCCGATCAGGCCACCCCCTCAAGATTTAACCAACTTATTAGAAGTTCAAATGAGCACCTTTTTGTTAACAATTTACACTGGTTTACTGTATACAGTATTGTAAGGCATGGTGGATATTTATAGTGTTATACACATAGATAGTAGTAATAATAATAATAATAATACAATTAAAAAATTATATTTGCAAAAAATATCTGAATATCTATATCAATCGTTACTAAAATGTAAGCTGGTCCTTTTTTAGGTCATAAAAAATAAAGAAAGCCAGGTGTATTTAATAGACCAAGCACACTACTTTAAACTGGAATATCTGTATTGAGCACATTTTTAAACCGTTAAAATCATTGTTGCCCAAACCCGGGCAGATAGAATCTGGACCTACTAATAGCTTTAATATGCAGTCTTCATTGAAGGTAAGATCTGCTTATGTACTTTTTCTTTATATGCTCAGTTTGAATTCTAAGGGTTTGGAGAGATTTACTTAAAGCCCCTGAATGTATTATTATGTATTAATTCTACTTCATAAGTAGAAAGAGTTTTTGGTGTTTCTTTATTGATTTTGTAATATTTTGTGTTCTTTAAAATGTACAACTACTACGGTATATAAATGATAATTTTGCCTCATCTGTGTACAGGGTATTGTTCCAGTACTACTGTTGAGTATCCAGATGGTTCAAGTATTTCTTTAGAACAAGTTTTGAACCTTTTATTCCACATTAAAAATATACCCTTATTACAGTTCCAATTTCAAACTTTCATCTTTCTATTTTGAGCTATGGATAAACACTACAGATATCTACAACAAACCACCTAACATCTACGCAGATAACCAACCTAATGCTTCTTACAATCTAATAGGTGTCAGGCTATTCTGAACCTGAAGAGTAAGGCATAGTAAAGGCTTTTTACCTGATGTAGCGTTTCTGGTCATGTAAAGTGGAAGGGGTTTCCAACAACTTATCCAAAAGTAATTTCCTCAGTGCTTCAATTCTGGTTTCTACTTCAGCATATACTGTATGAAAATAAAACACATGGGCGTAAATTAAAAGGACATTTATGTACTTGGTAAACTTCAACTAAATTCATAAAAATCCTGCAACATTTAAAATGTTAGTACCCATGTATAAGACGAATTCAAGATGTTCTATTTGCAGCACTTCCACTGTATGGAGATATTGTTGTGACAAATTCATAAAGAAATACCACCATAACGGTGACAAGGAAAATGGAGTTAAATAGGGACTCTTCCTTGTTGGAGTAAATTGTTGATTGTATTGCACATATAATTTCCGTGTTGCATCTGTGAGACAATTCTACAACAAAATTTGCCTTTTTGTTGCTGGAACTGATATTTTATGTGTTTCCATTACACTCCCAACTCCTCCAAATAGCCTCTCTCCCTGAAAAACTTTACCACTTCGTAGGAGAGATTCCTGCCACAGTTCTGTCAGAGCTGTGACAGATTCATATAAACCAATCAACATATACATACAGTGGAATTGCAAAAGTATTCACACCCTTGGCATTTTTCCTATTTTTATGCATTACCATCTGGAATTAAAATTGTTTTTTTTTGGATTACATGTAATGGATATACACAAAATAGTCCAAAATGGTGAAGTGAAAATAAAGAAATTAACTTGTTTTAAAAAATTATAAAAAATGAAAAAGTAGTGCATGCAGATGTATTCAACCCCTTTGCTATGAAGCCCCTAAGATCTGTTGCAACCAATTACCTTCAGAAGTCACATAATTAGTTAAATAAAGACCTCCTGTATGCAATGATCTCAGTATATATACACACCTGTTCAGAAAGGCCCCAGGGTCTGCAACACCACTGAGTAATGGGCATCACCAAGCAAACAGCGCCATGAAGACCAAGGACCTCTCAAAACAGATCAGGGACAATGTTGTGACATGCAGATCAGGATTGGGCTATAATAAGAATCTGAATCTTTGAACATCCCACGTAGCACAATTATATCCATTATTAAAAATGAAAAGAATATAGCACCACAGCAAACCTGCCAAGAGTGGGCCACCCACCAAAACTCACGGACCATGCAAGGAGGGCATTAATCAGACAGGCAACAAAAGGGACCAAAGATAACCCCGAGGGAGCTTCAAAGCTCCACAGCGGAGACTGGAGTATCGGTCCATAGGACCACTTTAAGTTGTACACTCCACAAAGCTGGTCTGCATGGAAGAGTGGCCATATAAAAGACATTGCTTACAGAAAAAAATAAGCAAACATGTTTGCTGTTCACCAAAATGCATGTGGGAGACTTTCCAAACTTATGGAACAAGGTAAGACTAGATGAAAGTATTTTTTTTTTTTTTACAAAGACCATTAGCAGATCTATCAAGAAAGGACAAGTCTTATAAAGTTCACCATTCGTAGATTTTTTGCTTGAAGCTATAAGGTTTACTGCATTAGGTGAATAAACAAAGCCCATCACCCTTCTTGGTCTATTATTCATTCAGTTATTGAGCATTACCTGCCCCAGAGCTGAAGCAGGCTGCACATGTGAAACCAAGCTTGTTTAACAAAACAGCGTAATAAATTCATGCATGTGGGGAAGGCGAGATCGTTTTTTGAATACAGCTTGCTTCACTATATATACATGAAAAAATACATATACATACACACTGAGTGGCCAGATTATTATGACCACCCCATCAGTACTTCGTTGGGCCACGAGATGACTTTGTTGGGCCGCCTCGTGACTCCACGAGATGTTGAAAGGTGATGCGAGGAATCTGACACTGCACTGTTGCCCTTCTGTTGTCTTGTACCAGTCTTGCCACTCTCCGTTCTGCCCTAACATTGACTAGTCTCTGACTGCCACAATTCGCACGTTCAGACCCAGATTTTAGGCTGACCGTCCAGTCTTTAAACACTTTAACAGCTGCTCTTGAACATTTAATGAATTCTGTTGTTTTGCTGATACTAGCTCCATGGCTCTGAAGGCCAACAATCATCCCACGTTCAAAGGCTGTTAAATCGCGTTGTTTACCCGTATCTTCAGAAACAAATCACTTCTACTGTCGTGGTAAACAACCTGCTTCCCTATTTATAATGGTCTGGCCCTCTAGCAACTTCAGCGTGAAATTATAGCTAATTTGCCTACAAACGTAAGGTGGTCATAATAATCTGGCCACTCAGTGTACATTTACACATTATACACATACACCTTACTTACCATACACATGGAAAAATATATTTCTCACCTTTTTTAAAAACCTCAACTTCAGTCTTTCCAAATAAGGACTTTGCTTTTTCATAATCATTAATGACGACATCATAGTCACCCTAAGGAGATGAAAACAACATATGACAGTAAAACATATAACACATAAATAAGGAAAGGCAGTGCTCAAGAAACAAAAAAACTAAACACATTTAATAAAGTCACAGACATAAAGATTGAGTCAGAAAGACATTGTACTAACAATCTCCATTTTCATTACCGTACATCCACTTGTTATAGCAGTTGTTCAGTGGGTCTAAATATAACTGTGCTAGGCACTAGAACTAGACCTAGAGCACTTAGTAATCAGCTCTCAGCACTAGACTTGGTCAGACTCAGCATAACATCGACTTTATAAGCACAATGGGGAGCTGTTACAGGAAGAAGGCTAGTTTTTCACACAGGCCTGATAATCTTTCATTTTACATTATTAGCCTGTGTAATTAGCTGATGGTGTTTAGTGTAAGCACGTGCTAACACTTTATCTATAGCTAATATATTTGTGTGCACTCACCTTCTGAATGTTTTTTTCGATGTTGAGTGGAAGATTGAACAAAAATTTGAATCGCTGGAGAACATTCAGTGCATTCCTAGTAGAATCAGCTTTATCCTTCCTGCCAAGTACTTCTTGGAACAGAGTATCTGCTGTTGTACTTGCACCTGATTACAGAAAGCAAAAGCTCTGGTAATGCAAAGAAAACAAACCTAACATTTCCAGTACTATATACCACAATATAGATATAGTTGTCTTCAGGAAAATGTATTTCAGTTAAATGCACTGCTGTACTATACACTATGTGCTTCTAAACTTGTGTTAAAACTAACGTCCTGATACAAATAACCTTAATTTTCTTCCCTTCCTCTTACTTTCCAATACTACCAAAAAAAATGCAACAACAAACGTTTTTGCTTTGGATACATTTTAAAGTTGTGACCACAAAGCTCTATTTGTATCCCCTTTCTCTGCAGCTGAATGGTCTAAACCAGTGGTTCACAACCTGTGGGTCGCAAGCCACAGTTGAGGAGGTCACCATGTGCCTTGTGTTTTGCTAGGTAAAAGACTCCTTAGCCTCCTCCTAGCGCAGCAGTGGCAGTTCTCCTAGATGGCGCTGCAGCAGCGGCGCCCAGAGGGGATCTGAGAGAGGGGAGCAGGCAGGAGTGCCTGATCACCAAAGAGCCACACTGGGCACCACAGAGCCTGCACTGGGTGCCACCAGAGAGTCCCACTAGCTACCTGAGAGCCCGCATAGCCTCCTGAGAGCCCACACAAATACTAATATTGGTGCATCCCTAAATTTTACCGTTGGGGGTCACCACAACTTGGCAAGTGTTACCAAGGGGTCCCGGCCCTAGAAAGGTTGAGAACCACTGGTCTAAACTCTCTCTTATGGCTGACAATGCCTTAGAGCTATGGACGCTGGGGGGTTATGTCACAGTTTTACCAGTTCACCCAGAATTTAAAAGTGTTATTGGCCCTTCACTGACACACAGACAGTCATGTGACCACATAGAAAAGGTATTTAAGTTGCGATTTATTAGAAAACGCATTCAGGGAATATCAGAGATATTGGTTAGGCTACATTTTAAAGGAGTGTTATTGTGTAGTCAATTGGATTTCAGGAGCTCCCCATGTTACAAATCCTGGTCCCCCTTCAAATAACACATTTTTCACTTTTTAAAAGAAAGCACTGGTAGTATATTATGAAAACTGACATCCACAACTCAGGTATACTGGTCTTTCAAACGCTTTAAGGCTACAAATGCGCTATTGTGATCCCACTATATAAGAGGCCATTTATACAACTGGTAAATAGCTCAGATTTTTCTCCCTGTAAATGATCCTAATTATACTTTTACTCAAACGAAAATAAGATGAAAAACTGGAAGTATTTTGGACCGTTTTGATCACTGCCAGCAGAAAGTCTCTACATTATCTGGTCTAGTGACCATACTTTAAGCAAAGTTGAAAAAAAAAAATTACATCAGCCTCTCTGGGTGGCTTGCGTGCCATATACTCTCTTCAGCACTGTGGGTGGCCCAGCGAATCTGAACACAGCCAAGCTAAAATAATTGTTTAATACAAATACTACAAAAGCACTGCAGGAATTTTACAACTCTGAAGTAAAAACGAAAGCCTTCACTTGTGTGACGCCAATGTTTCACTTAACAACCTGAAATATAACAGTAAGGAAAGCGGTAAAATCCAGCAAAAACTCTTACACCACACACAAAACGTGCAACTGCCTAGCAATTAGACTAAGAGATGTTACAGCTGTCAACATGCTCAATAGCCATTTACTTAATAGCTGCATACCATTTATCATTCATGTCCATTCAGTAATGGCCTAAAAAAAAAATAATAATACCAGATCTTCGAACAGGCTCAACCTTATTCAAACTCAAGAGGCAATTATGCTTACCGATAATCCAATTAGTAAACTGTATTTAAGGGAGATTCCAGCCAAACCTTTTTTTGTTTTGGTTTTGAACCGGGTTTTTACTGATGCATGTGCCCCAGCGGGAAATTGCACTTCTCTTCCTTTGTGGTTATGATCTCTCTTAGAGGAGCACAGGTAGCAGCTTTCCCAAGAGGTTGCTTGCTCGGCACAGTGGCCATTCAGAGAATGCCTACTATTTATATCAATGAATATGAGGTATTCTCTCATTGGACAAGGAGCAGATTGTGACATCACGGACCCTTGTTCAATCAGAGAACAACTTGAAGTAAAGTTTTCTTAGCACCAGGATAAGGATGTTTTTTTTTTCCAGCCATGTGACCATAATTTTCAAACGTAATAATTCTAACCTGAAAATAACTATAATTGTTCAAAAAGAAGAATCCTTTTTCTGGTGTCATAAGATAATAAAAGTTGACGTGAAAATAGGTTAAACTACAAACGGACAAAATACAGGAGGTCATTCATTAGCACTGCAGTGTGAAACATTAAAAGGTCTAACTTTACAGATGTACTATAAAGCAGTTAGTTTACACAAGGTGCCTTAAATATTGTCCTTATGTTAACCCTGAGAGTAGTGAACCGAACATTTTAAAAATGTTTGACTTCTAAATGTTCCTTGCTTATTCGGTTATGAAATTTCTGTTCTGTATAAGCACTTATGTTCCTTGCTGTTGCCTCTGCAGTATGTACAAGTGCTCTTCTACCAGAGTGTTACATTGATTTTCATTTATTTTAAAAGAGTGGTGGTTTAGTCTTGTGTGCAAGTTCGACTCCATTCCCCCAATATAAGTCATTCTGATTTTGTGCACACTGAACACTGATGATATGCAAAACAATTTACCAAGCATGTGATAGCACCTTTGTAAATTTGATAACTGTATTTAATCTGTGCACAACCTGTTGGTCTGGTCAAAGCACTTCTGACTTTTTTCTTTCATAAATGTAATGTATTTAGCCTAGAGTTTACAAATTGTTATATTTAAAAAATATATATATTTTTAGAAAGCTACTAAAAAGGTATTACTGCGATCACACTTTCTTGCCTATCCTGTGTATTTTTCCTGACTAATATAAATATTTTTTCTGCTTTGTGCAAGCACAGACATAAGAAAGCTGAATGTCTTTTGGACCCATAAGAGAAGTTTAGTGTTTTCCTGTACATGTATACTTGTGTCTATGAAGGCAATAGAAAATATGATGAATGCCAAAACCTCTGAAGCCATTTACACCCCTAAAAAACACCAAATACAACCTTAAAGCCTATCTCAAGGCTATTTTTTCTAAAGTATCCCTGAAGGGAAAAAAAAGTTCTGGCCGTGATAATTTCCTCTTCTTTGGCACTGTCTCTTACAGTACCTCTTCTCAGCCAAATAACGACCTTGGTTTTCTTCCGGGTTGAACGATGGCCATTCAACCTGCAAGACTCAGAACACCTTCTAACATGTACTGGGAGTGCAGGGTGTCAAGAATTTGTCACCTGGAAAGGGGTATCTTCACGTTGCACAGCACTCACAGCGTACTGATGTGGAAGTGATGACCTTCCTGGCATCAGTGAGGTCCGCCTACCACCATGAAAATATCTGAAGAAAAAGAGGGCCCTGCATATAACGTGACTGTCCTAACAACATATAAAAAGGGTAAGAATATAATAAAAAAATACAGATGGGTTGTGGTGGTGAGGGAGGGTTATGCATAAGAGGGGTGAGGGGGAGGCCAGCACATGGAGTTGTGCTTTGATTTTGCCTTTCCCATTGACTTCATTGCACCTTGCCAAATGGTTAAATTTCGCTGCAAAGTTCCTGATTTTGTAAACATTTTGACAAAGCAAAAACTCAGTTTCGCTCAACCTAATTAAACACTGATGTAAATGTCTTTTATATTAGGATGACCAACTGAAGACATGTTTTAAATACATATAAAAGGTCATGACATTATAAAATAAAGACATTACTATAAAATAAAGACATTACTATAAAATAAAAACATTACTATAAAAGACCCTTAAGTCGTTGCCACTAGATTATGGTGTTAAAGTGACACTAAACTCAGGAGTTAAATCTTAAAAATGCATTTAATTACCCATATTATTAACAAAAATGTAGCTTATTTGTGTTTCACTCAGCTGTAGACCCTCAAATCAAACTATGAATTGGCGCGGACACTGTCCAAGGAGGGTGGCTACTTTTGTTCCACATGGTCCCTGTGTGTGTTGTAAAGAAGCCACCACTCCAAGCTCGCTCCTGTGATGGACTGCAATCTTATGTTTAGTTTACTAATTTTGGAGCGGGGGCTACTTAACAACACACAAAGGGATCATGGAGAACCAAGGGTAACCACTCTCCAGGAGGAAGGAATGTGTCAGCACAAATTCAGAGATGATTTGAGGATCTAGAGCGGAGTGATACACAGATAAGGTAAATTTGTATTAATAGTTAAGGTACTTGAATGCATTTTTAAGATTTAACTCCCAAGTTTAGTATTACTTTAATTAAACGTATAAAAGACTCATAACTAAAAAAAAGAAATTACAAAACTGAAGATGACTGCTATAAAATATAACAGTTCCTTCCCCTAAGAAGTTAAATCAATATCAAAGATTTTGTTTTCCTGTATATTTTAAATTTCAAAATATTTGAAACACTGGCCTCAAAGTTTATTTTATTATTTAGGAAACGGAAGAAAAGTCAGAAACTCCATCACCAAATCTTACATTTTCTAAGCATAATGAGTTTGAGTCACTGTGTACTAAGTGAATTTAGATTTGGAAATAAGTGTGAACACGTTAGCAGGAGTGGAATGAAAGAAAGCTGTTTAGCTGTTAATAGATGCTTTTAAGGGAATATAAAACTTACTTTTTAGAACTTTTTCCAATTTTTGCGTCATTGAACCTTCCACTTTTTCCGTACCATCCGCTTCCAATTTTTGATGGATTGCTGGAAAATAAATGGTCATCAGAAAATGTACACAAGTCACATTTAACAGTTCTCAAACAGCAGCCCTTATACCATTTGTACCTAAGCAACCTTATATAAAAATGTAGAGCCCAAAGCCTACCTGCAAAATTACTACTTAAAAATAAAAGTGAAAAAAAATTATTTGAAATAGTTAGAAACCGTAAGAAAACAAATCATTTTAGAAATATTGAAATGCTCTTGAAAAATGTCTGTGACATTTCTAAAGAATTGAATGAGTTTTTCACTTTTTTCCCACTTACCGTTCTGGAGGAAAATGTACTGGCATGGTTAAAGTAGAACTTTTTTTTTCATGGGATGGAGTGGTGAAAGGTTACAAACTTTGTCAGGTTATTACTGCTGTTTGTGTCCCTGTTGCAGCAATCTACTCTCACTATTTGTCCTGGTGACCACTATTACTTAGACCGTGAGGAAGAAAGCTAATTTGTACACTGGTCACTGGAACAGTAGTAGGTAATAAAATTGTGGAAACAATTGTTGTGGTGGCAACTGCCAAAGACAGGAATTCTCCTCACTTGGGGAGATATCTACTCACTTCCTAAGTTGCCCCTGAGGACAAGTACTGAGGGTGATTTCAGTGATGCAGATATAAAAAAAAACTGGCATATATTTTAACCATTGGCCCACTCTATCCAAATAAAAAAAAAGAAATTAGTCTCACGTGCCCCCCTTGAATTGTAAAGTTTAACAGTTCATTTAGTCTACGGTCTGTGTAAAGTAAAGGAATACTTCCCGCTATATAATCAGCCCCATGAGGTTAATAGTCTTGCCCCGGCCTCTCCAATGTCATTATGCTGTTGCTGAGGACATTAAGAGCTCATCCACATAATGGGGGTGGAGGAGACAGGAAGAGAGCACCAGCATTTGATAGTAATATTTAACTCGCTAGTTCAGTTTTAAATCATAATTATTACTGTCTTTTTGTTTAATATGCATTAAGAAATGCTTTTTAAACTACCGCATACACAAAGTATTTCCGGCATACATTTGTAACAGAGTTCAAGGAGATTCAGGGCCCAATCACACTATATCCAGTGCGTTCTGTCACTATTTTTTGCGATCGCACAGCCGGACCACAGGCATTGCTGTTCCAGACGTTCTGGTGCGGGCAAAGGCATTGCGGGCAGGAGGCATGGCTGCAGTGCCATTGACTTGGCACCACCACGCCCCCTTCCGCCCAAGAACGCAGGGAGGATTTAATTATGCGAACCAGTGCATTCCAGCCACTAACTGTGCTGGAACCCACTGGATATAGTGTGAACGGGCCTTAAAGTGATATTAAAGCTTTAGGTTTTTTTTAAATTTTCATAACTGGGAGGCCTTCTTTATTGCAGATTTTTTTTTAAATTTAATCTCTCAATTCCTTGTTTTCTAGTGGTGTTCCTGCATCCTCTCTGCCCCCTGGACGGGTGCCACCAGCAACTAAGCAGCTGCTGTAGAGGCACCCATGCATGCTCGTTCAAGGTCGTGCCCGCAAGTGGCTGTGTGCGGCCATAGACACACACGGCCCACGTGTGCTTGGGATGGGGGCCTATAGCTCCTCTGCCCTCAATCTCCTACCCCGCAACCAGGACGTTTGGGATAGAAGATCGCTACGGGGACCAGTGGCAGTGACAGGTAAGTGTGCTTGGGATGGAGGAGTAAAAAGGTACTGGGCGTTTTTTACCTTAATGCATAGAATGCATTAAGGTAAATAAAATGCCCAGCCTTTAATGCTACTTTAAAGTTGCCATTTGTCACGTATCTCTTTTGTAATTGCATTTTTTGGATGTATATAGTTTTTCTTATGGAAAATGTTTGGACATTTTCCATAAGCATGTATTAAGGAACCTTGAGACTTGCGATGATTGCCATCCAATCTGGGTTTCAGCAACAAGACCTTTGTCTTTTGGAACTATTCACTGACCTACAAAAACATTGTAAATCTGTGTAGCCAGTCTTGAGATTTACACAACTTTTCCACGTGCACCGTTCAGCAGATGACAGCGCTATTTTTTCCTTTAAATTAAAGTGTTCAGTGTTCAGACTGTACATTTGACTACCAACTTAAATTTTGTGTGGAGATTTGGCCACTATGTAAAGTCATCCTAGTGCTCTGTTGACGGTAGGGTGTGCTTGGCAAGGACCATTATTGACCCACCAAGTATAAATCACGTTTCTGCCAAGCCTGTAAGTACCTAGATTAAATGTTACAATGTTTTGTTTTTTTCTAATAAAACTCCTCCTAAATCTGCAGTGTCGAGGCACAAACCAACGTCCTGTCTCAGTTAACTATAAACTTCTGGGCATCGTTCTGCAAAGAAGTCAAGGGATTTAAATACATTCTGAAGGGGCTGCAGTCTGCTCTATAACACCAGAGTCATGCCTTACATGGGATAAATTACAAGCTTTCCAACATGCACCATGCTTTCTCCTCTATATGCATTAATAAAACTTAATGAGCCATCACATCCATAAAATGCTGCACACACACCAGTTCTGCACATTACTGATCTATGAAACTCCTACATTTCTTATTATACCAGTTAGATAAAAGCCTAGAAGCTAGAAGAGAGGACACACCGAAATGTCAACTTTATTTTGACATGCAATGCATTTTTCCTAAACATTAGCTTTTTATGTCATCACATATAGCAATCATATGCAAAGTGTTCAATATAAGATAAATAACTACACAACCTGCATATCAACACAAGGAATAATTACAAACATTTGTGCACTGCAGCAGTAACATGAAACATATTGCATTTAGCAAAGCTAAGCAGAAGTTAACTCATAAAAAGTGCACAGCAAGGGAAGCTATGAAGTGCACTGTATCAGTGAACAAGACCATACTGTACTTTTTAACCAGAAACCACTATAAAACCTGAGCACATCACAACCTGTCTAGTTCTATTTTGAATGGCCCAGGTACCATTTATTCTCTAAAATTAGTATTGGCCGCTATGTAAAACCTTTTATTGCTTAATCCAAATGTCAAGTAGTCAAGTAGCTACCTGAGCTGTTTTTAAATATGTGACATTCATCCTTGATGTGTGTGTGTGTATGAATATATA